TTTAAAGATTCTGACACCTGTTGCTCACTTCCAGTTCAGCAGCGCCACCTGGCTCAGCAGCAACGAACTGCAGAACACTCCAAGATCATCAGCAGATATTTATTAACCAGAACTATTAAAGTAAGCTACCGTCTTTTCTCCACATTTTGCAGAAATTTTAAAACTATCGATGTTTATTATGAAATTTCCTTATCATACAATATCTGCAGCCTTTACATTTCACTTAAGACACACGCACCGATAACCTCTTACTGTTTAAAGTAATTTTTATGTTACTGTGACAACATGTGGTGTTTTTGATGCTGACTATTTTTTTTTTGACTAGAACCAAAGGAGGGATGTTGATTCCTGTCTGCCCTGCTGTTGATGTAGAATAGCTTTCCTGGTCCCTGCTAGCAGGTATGGTATTGTGATATTTCCAGCTTTTTAAAGTACTTTCTTCATGGTCTCCATGACAAATGCTGATTCACCTATTTGATCCCATGCACAGACTTTCTGAAACAGATTAAAATGCAAAACGTTACATGTTGAAATCCTACTTAATATACTGCTTCTGTTTTACTCAATCAATAAAATTTTTGTGAAAAGGCTTTGTCTTTGCAGTATCAAACTGTTATAAGGATAAGCTTTTTGGTGTTTTTGCCAGGATAATCAAGTTTTAACAACTCTCTTTCTCTCTCCTTCCTTATAGATCTGCCCCCTCTCTCTACTACAGATCTTCCTGTCTACTGATGTCACTTGTTTGCAGGCTATTTGAAGGGAAGCAAGCATCGAGAGGACAGCTAGAACACAAATAGGATTTGTATGATATCCTTGTCTGCTGATAATATAGAAGGGAAGGGGGACTTGAGCCAAGCTCAACTTTGGCTTTGCTCACTAAACTTGAGATAACGTAGGGAACATTTTGGAAATAAAGTGCCTTGTGACAAAAATTTTAAAGAATATCCTTACATAAAATAACAAGGGCTAAGGGATAGAATTTTCTACACCCATATGTTATACTTGTAGTCCAGTGAAAGAAGACCAAGAATGGATGGACAAGAAGAACAAGAAAGTCATACAGTTGTAGTTGCCAAGGACATGTTCAAGCGTTTTGTGTGTTTTAATCAAGTCAGTAATAAGACTATGAGGATATATCTTGAAAGATATTAAAACAATGAATGGAACAGTGTTATGCCTGTTACCCAACCATCTTGTAAAGAGAAGATGGAACACTGAATGAGAAATGATTTCATCCATCTATTAGTAATTGAATAGATGGAAGTTTTAGAACTTTATCACCATCATGTAGGAGAAATGGTGGAATTAATGTTCAGATTAATTTCTTTTGTCCGTCTTGTATGTGAAAAGGTGGACAAGTACCTATTTTATCCATCTTAGTACAAAGATGGATTTTTTTCCACTCGTCTTGTAAGTAGAAAAGGCGGACTTAGTAATGATCCTGTGGACTGCAGCCATTCCTGAAGATGCCCACTACAAGGGACTACGACCACGCAGGAGACCAATGCCAACATTGACTAAAGATTTTGAATAAAGATTATGAATAAATGTTTGAATAAAGATTATGAATAAAGATTTTGAATGAAGACTTTGAATAAAGATTATCCTTCACATTGGAATCAAAATTTGACCTTTCAAGTGCTTGAATTTGGTAAATTAAAAAGGCAGTAGTTCTACATGCCTTTGACCTGCTCTTTGAGTTCACATGCACTTTGACTTTAGATCAGGATCCAGAAATAAGGTGAGTTAAAAACCAAATTAGAGCAGGGACATAGTTAGTAAAAGTGTGTGATGATTCAGAGAGCAGGTTTTAGTTCACAAATTTATGGGGGTGGGTAGATGGAAGTCAAGCACAAAACTTCTTGTTTTCAAAAAATTTATAATATAAACACAAGGCACACCCCAAATTTTAGCCTAGTCAACGATCTCAAGAGGACACCTGTTTTTATGTTAAGCCACTACCAAGATGCCAAAGGTGAGCCATGTAATTAAGGACTGCATGCATACTAACATGTACTTTCTCTCCTCATGCCAAAGGGGGGTCCTATTGCAAACCTTCTAGGAGCATCTGGGGTTAGGGCCAAACCATCTCTGAGTCAATTTTATGTTTTTCAACCCCATGATGGGAAGGGAACTGGGGTCCTTGCAACAATGGGAATTCTTTTTTGTTTGATACATTTTACACACTCTGTAAGCTGCTCTTGCGATTGAAATAAAGAATTTCAAATAAAGAGACAGTGTCTGAATTCTGTGGTGTGAGTTACTCGCGATAAGTAACAAGATGGAGCAACAACTTTTACGTGACTTTTCGAGAAAACTTTTGTAGAGTGACAATGACGGACAGGTTTGTATCTTCCAGGTAAACATGTAAGTATAACTTTGCAACTTTTCTTACTTTCTTTATTTTTTTGAAGCTTTTCTAATATTTTTGTAGTTTCTTTTTTTGCAGGTTGTTTCTTCAAAGATGTCTGTCTCCTGGCTTCCAACCAACAGAATTGTTCCTTGAATGGATGTCTCTGCTTTGAGGCTACCTGAAGATTTGAACAATGGGAAACAAAGCAGATAACAATCTTTGTTCTTTACAAATTGTGTTGAGACTTTGCTAGAAATATGAGCCAAACGTTAAGACATTCTCCAAAGTAGATGTGAAATAATATTGTACTAATTTGGTGGGCTAAGATACAGAAGATTTGAAACAATGTTTGAATGATGAGTTTATGAAAGGCATTTCCCAAAAAAGCTACGCAAGCCAAGGGACATTACCATTATTTCTACTAACTTTAACAACTGTAAATTATGGGTGGTCTTGATTTAAGTTTTGGGAGAGTCTGTTGCAAATGTTCACACTTTGTTGTTTTTCTGTAGGCACATGACACTACCTTGAGACACTACTCAAAGGAGAGATGTCTAAGACGAGAATGCAGAATTGAGACATCAGAAGACAGCATCTTATTCTATCTTTCTGGGGTTGCCGTTACAAATCGGATGGCACCCAGTCTATTTGTACATGTAAGTATGCTCATAATGTATTTTTCTGCCAAATGTATCTGGCACTTTGTAGTATCCTAGTCTTTATCAGGTTTTAGAAACGACTGGAAAGAGTATAAATTGGCCAAATAGACATACAATGTAAAACATTCCAGGGGGTTGGTTTGCTAAAGGAGTACAATTTTCTGCTCTGTTTCTACTCTTTCCATGCAGCCACCTCTGAAGCCTGATAGAGGCTAGCAGTATCCTGCATTTGGGTGTGCATGCAAACCCTGGATTGTCAAGCTCTCAGTTCCATACAATTAACTAGTGAACATCAATGAGAACAAACTGACACCACACACTTCATAAATCATTATACTGTGTTCCTCAAACGTAATATTTACAACACAAATCATTTCATGATAAAAATTTTATCCATAATTTGGCAATAGACACATAAACACAACTAACATAAGTGTTGATAACTGATTTCTAAGTCATCACCCACAAAATATTCTGTAGAGAAAATTTAATAACTTGTTAGTTTTTGCATTGCAGATATGTACAACAATTGTGTGTACATACATGTACAAGTAACAATCATTAGTGCATTGTTACTGCACTATCATAACGAATTCATAGGGGGAGCAGCTATACCATTGACAATATCCATAATAAATAAAGCACATTGATGTTGCAGTTTACACTATGTACACTGTTAGACGAAATACTGAATTACTCAAAAGACATTTCAAGGTAATAATAAAAAAATTACCTTTGATGATAAAATCATCATTTCGAAATTGTTTCCATATGTTTAACTTGAAAAAAAAACGAACCCAATCACATTTTTAGTAGCATAAAAGATTGTACAACTGTCAATGTTTTGTATTATATAAGAAGCAGCATGAAAAATCTCAAATACCTTAGACACTGATCAGTGAATTATACACACAATGTTATCATGAAAATGTAAATGTGTAAATTTCTACTGTGTTTAATTTCTACTTCTATTCACTCCTTATAATATTCTGACATCCACTGATTTTTTGATAACTTGTTCCTTGAAAAGATACTTTAATTTAAAATAATGACTCTCTCTAAATGCCCACTTCATCAAAAACTTTTCCATTTCGTTTTCCATCATTTTGTTAGAGAAACTGCTACAAGTTACTAACTTTCCAATCAAAATACTGATCACAAAACAAGGATAACATTGGCATCAACACCTCTTAAGAATGCATTGACATTACTATAAGGAGGTTTGAAATGTAACTCAATTGGCACATAGAAGTAAAGGTGTAGAGTTTGAACTGTTTATGAGTGTGATTACATTTAGACCACCAGTTTTGTATAGTCTGACATAATATAACACTCTAGCACCACTGTTTACTTTGATCCAACTCCTAGTTTCACTAGCTTCATGGCCGTACTGAGTTTCTCCACACTCAGTTGAGAGAGAAACTCACACTGCATGCCGTCCGTTAAACTCAGACCCCCAGAGTTCCCTACACACTTCTCCACAATAGTGTTGACCATCTTCCCCTGTTCAACTTCCAACCACTTATATACATGTTCCTGGTAAGTGGATCCCTCCACTGAGTCTAACATGTCCGCTGGTGGGCCCCAGAACAGGCACTGAAGACTCTCCACAGCTTGGGTTGACGTGATTCTATCCTTTGGCTTTGGTTGCAGCAGGGAGTGAGCAAGACTTTTCAACCCTTCAGAATAAACAGATTTCCTGGGAATTTCCGGTAGGTCCTTAGTGTTGTAGCCGTCCTGTATAAGGCTTGGATTCCGGAAGGGGTTGGACATGTGGAGTAACTCGTAGATGAGAATTCCGGCAGCGAATTCGTCGCATTTGCCATATGGAAGATCGGACGCATTCCGTATGGCCTGTACCACTTCAGGGGCGAGACGCTCAATGTCCGCTGATGATCGTGAGTCGTCACTTCTCAGTTTCGCATGGCTGAAATTTGAAATCAAAAGTTGCGGGCTGTCTTCTTTGTCACTGTCCACTGCAAGGAGGATATTTTCCAGTCTTAGATCATAATGAGAAATATTATTGTTCTTCAGGTACTCCAAGCCTTTCAGAAGTTGTAGCAGCAAAAGGGAAACTTCCTTCTCGTAAACCTCCGGGTCTTTCTCATGCAGTCGTTTTGATTCCTTCACATAGTTGGCAAGAGTGTCCGTAGGCACTTGGGTATATACCGCTAACTCGCTATCTAACATGTTCCCTGATTGGTTACTCTGCTGTTGTAAGGCTTGCTGTGATTGGTGGGATGGTCTTGGCAGTTGGGTTTGAATCAGCTTAGCTGGGGAGTAGATGTTGGGGTGGGGTGGGCGTGACTGTAGAATGTGAACCTCCTTCTGGAACAAGGCTCTGCCTTGTGAATCCGTGCAAACCTGGATAATAGTGGGAAAAAACAACTGCAGTAACTAACAGAACAAGTGTCAGAAATGAATGATGTGTTGAAAAAATCTTGACCAGTTTTAGCTAAATATATTCAATGAACAGTTATACGACTCTTCCACAGCTCGTGACACTATGTACAGTATTTACAGGTTCATTGTATCAGGAAAATTGAATTCTCCTATCTCTTTTCAAAAAGTGTGATGAACAAAAGTGAGTGGACCACAGCTTAACAGCCCGTCCTAAGGACTGTCACCCTTTTAAGAAGGATAAATGGTCCCGTCTTGGTCCTAAGAGGCAGGGTCACTGACCACTGGACTGGACAAAGTTTTTGGATTATCAATTCTACTCACTAAAATGACAGCTGCAGTACTATTGACAGTGATATCTTACCTTAACTGATATGTCCTTGCCAGGCAGTGTTTTTACTTTAGCTCTGTAGATCACAGAGTGTTCAGCGCCACAGTCTGGAACAGCCTCAATCAGCACAATATCATCCGCTTTAACCTGCTTCAGCTCTTCCACTGGTGAACACCACCCCCTCTTCCACTTCTCCGTAACAGCCTCTAAAGTCTTCTTGTTCATTGCTGTCAGCTGTGTGTAGTATGAGCTATCAGGCATGTCCTTTGTTGGAGTATGGGGCCTCGGCTTGGGTTTGGGTTTACGATGAGTTGGTGACGTTTGAGCTTCAGTGTCACTGAGGCTTCCATTTGGGACTGTGCCGAGCTCTACATTCACATAAGAGTGTGGAGGACCCTGGTTGTCTAGGAAGAAAGCTGCTTTCTCCTTAGTTGGGGACACCACTCGGACTGGTCTCCTTGGAGGAGAATCTTTACTTTGATCAGAGGGACGAAGCTGCTTCCGTTTGGTCTGTGGTGACTTGAGGACTGAACGCAGGCCAGGGGTGGAGGGGGTTGGTTTGGTGGAGGGGGTTGGTTTGGTGGAGGGGGATGGGGTTCTGGACAGAGCAGGGGGTAGGGAAGGTCGTGTTGGCTTTGCTGGAGTCTCCAGATCTGCCCTGGCAAAACCTGTGTGGACACAGAAAGAAGTATTCTTGTTAGTAATGTTACATCTACAAAGACACCCAGGTAATGAGGTGCACAAGAAAACAGTGACAAGCAAATGCCTAGATTTTGAAAACTGTCAGAGGTTTCAAGTAGAATCCACTACTGACAGTCACTGAGGAAAAGTAGTGGATGCTATGTCTGACAGTTTTCAAAATCTATCATGTTGTTTGAGTAACTGTTTTCTTAATATATATTCTTGTTACACGAAATCAACATTGGCTAAATCTTTGTGCATAGGAATTTTGGCTTAAAATTAAAGTTACTGTATCACTACTACAGATTACCTAAGGACACCTACCAGTGTTGCCATACTCTGCCTCTCCTGCACTGTCTGATAACTTCCTAAGTCGGTCGGCGCTTACAGACCGTCTTGGTGGACTGGCCGGCCATGCTGGAGGTCTCGCTGGTCGTGGCGGGCGTTTATCGTCTATGGTAGAGTTGTTTACCTTCGCTGGGGAGGGATCCCCTCCTTGAGTTGGCGGTCTTGTGGCTTGCCTGGTGGGGGTTTTGTCCCTCCGAGGCCTGGGTGGTGGTGGTGCCGCCGTTTTCTTCGTGGAAGGTCGCGTCTGTCGCAATGGCCTCTCTAGAGTACTGTCCTTCTCGCTGGAAGACCCGCTACTGTGGTACGGCTTCTGGTAGATCTGCGTGGCGATACTGCGCTGCGGTGGAGGTGTTTTAGGTTTCTCTAACACTTTCTGGATTGGCACATCTTTGCCGTTGTTTTGGAAGGCTTGCATTCTGCGACGGATTCCCGGAGAGGGTTCGGAACTACTGGCATCGGAACTTGAACCTGACTTCTTCCTTGAGGAAGCAATGCTGTCTAAAGTGTCGGAAGACTCAGAACTTCTGATCCCGCCAAATAAGTTCTGGTTCACCAACACAACATCGTCCCCTGGAACTTCGTTCGAGTCATCAACAAAGCTCAACTCCCCCTTGTTTCGACCCAAGAGTTTCTTCAGAAAGCCTCGAGACTTCTTAGACTTGTGTTCCCCGACTGGAGACCACTTGGACAAAATTTCGCTAGTAGTAGGAGAAGTTGGAGAAGTAGGGGACATACTCTTGAGACCCAGAGGTGAGGATTTGCCATCCTTTGAAGGCGATGTAGCGGGTAGTGTTTTACTTTTACTCTTTGCACTGCTGTTTATCCCAGAGTAAAGGAAACTGTTGCCTGCTCCGTCGGTTTGAGGAGGGGGGATGAAAGACACCATCTCCTGGATACTAGGCGGAGCTGCGGGCCGGCCTTTCCGCTTAGGGGATGGGGAGTGGGATGTTCTACTTGGCGAAGGGGGGTAGTCGTGTGACGCCATTTCCTTTGGAGGTGCGGAGGGGACCACGCCAGTGAGGGGTGGAGGAGGGGGTGCTCTTTTCTTCGCTGCCCCCTCTGGTGAACTTCTCTCAAAGTCAGGTTTGAATGTACTTAAAACTGGGCTGGGCTCCCCCCTTTCTTGTTGGTTTGGTCCTTTCTTGTTGGCATGTAGATTTGACACTTTTGGTGGTCTAATTTCCACACCTTCCCCACCATCCTCCCCTTCCTTTAGATTATTAGGTGGGCTACATTTGTGCAATAAACCTTTGTAGCCTACAAGGTTGTCATATGCCATTGGGTCTATGAGAATTGGCACCTTGTGCGGCGACTTAGGACTTCCTACTTCGTCTTTCAGAATCCTAGGAAACGGAGGCATCCCTGCGTTAGTCTTCACATCTTCTCCCTCCTTGTTCGAGGCCATACCATTCACTGGTGAAGGGGTGTCAACCTTGACTTGGGCTGTACCACCTGAGGTGGATGGGGAGGACTTTTCTGATCCGCTTGGTGAACTGCCTGCATTCCACAGCTCATGATAGTACGGCTCTGTTCCCTTTCTAACTATAGAGGGATCAGGGTACTCATTCGGTGGGTTGGTTGCGATGTCGATAATTGTGTATGGCTTGACCATAGCTGGAGGATCTAGGTCCACGACTCTGTAAGGCATGGTGAAGTTCGGCTGTGGCTTCAGACTCACCTGGTAAAGTTCTACTTTCACGTCCTTGTGAGCTTTTTCTGCGGGAGTTTCCCGTTCTGACTCCTCGCTGCTGTGGGAATTGTCCAGTACGTGGTAGTAGTGAGGCTGGGGGAGGGACTTCGGCGGGGTGTTTCCTGTCGGCGCTCTGTATGGTAAGGCGTATATACCGTCAGATCCCGAGCTGTCACTCATCGTCCTTGCCTTCCTCACCTCTCCCTGAACGGAGAACGGTTTAACTGGTGCAACGTTTGATGCCACGTTCCGTAACAGGTCCGTGTCGGAGCTCTGGTGGAAGAGTGGGGCGACGGCAGCCCGTGGGGCAGGCGTGCTACGACAGAGGGGGACCGTGTTGTACAGCTTCTGCTTGATGAAAGGAACAGGGGAGAATGTGTCGGCCCTGAGTTGTGAGAACTTGGAAGTCTTTCCGTTTTCCTGTATCTGTGTTACTGTTTTGATAAGGTCGTTTAGTTCCTCTTCTAAGTCGTCCTCCGTTATTTCGTTCTGGCTACCTTGGTTGAGTGCTGCACTTGCATGCTGGTCAGGTATGTCTGAATCATCCATAGCCTCACATTCGTCAGCCTCAGATTCCTCGTCCGATGACGCCCCATCAAATGAAAACAGTCCACCATCCTGACCTATGACCTCAACAACCTTTGGTGCAAACTGCACACTGACCTTTGCCTTCTTTGCTTCTTTCTTTTTTAAAGCACTTTTCCTAGGAATCGATTTTGCTGCTATTTGACTTTTTTCCGAGATCCTTCCCATAAATTTCTCCATCTCTCTCTGCCATTCCTCCTCCACATTAGTTTCTTTGTCTCTTTCGTTTCTGTTTTCAAATCTTTCCAACAACTTTTGCATCCGGCCAAGTTCGTGACCCAAATCTCTGTCACCCTCCTTCTTCCCACTTTCAACTTTAACCTTGCTCTGGCCTTTGAATTCTTCCATGTTGAAGCTACCGATGGTGGCTTTCTTGTGTTGTTTCACCTCCAGTGGTATCCGTGGCTTATTCTTCGCATCTTGTGGAGTCCTTGCCAGTAGAGTTGATCCGGATCGCGACCGCCCGAAAACGGGATTCCCATTCTCCGTCCTGCGTACATCCGGTGCTGACGCCCGTCGTATCTTCTGCTGAAGCAGTTCAACGCTCTGCGCGCTGGAGTCGCTATGCGAGTGGAGTCCCTTGGAGAGAAAACAGTTGGTGCAGGTTCCTGGCTTCCATGCGTGTTCCACAAAGTTGTCACATGCAGACATGCCGGATGACGTAGCCACAATCGTTCCTGATGAGCCTCGTCACTCCGTCACGGCCATCAGAGCCTGAAACAACCAAAGACGACAAATATCAGAGGAAGGCCTGGGATATAATTCACATACATGTAGTATCAATGGTTAGATGTGCCATCAGACTCAGAGCCTGAAACAACCAAAGATGATGAATGAAAACACTGCCTCAGAGGATAGATTGTGCTATAATTCAGTGCCAGGTTCAAGTTTACTTCTACATTTAGCCATCAGAGCCTGAAACAATCAAAGACGACGAATATTCCCCCTCAGAGGGAAGACTAGGCCATAATTCACAAAAATGTAGTATCAAGGGTTAGATATGCCAGATTCAAGTTTACCTAGAGCCATCCAATCCTGAAACAAAAGCAAAGAGGAAGGAGTCAGACATGTGATGTATGGCGTAATCCCTGCCCTGAATGAACTTTCAACACAGCACTCTGCCTGCCAAGTTGGCCTGTGATCACAGTGTTTTGCCTTAGTCTGGACTCAGATCACACAAGTCTGAGACAGCAACACAAAAATTGCAGCCAAACTTTCAACAAACTTTTACTCTGTGCAAGAAAGACTGAATGATTGCAACAGCTGACATTTGCTAAATCTGCCCTTATTTGAATGTTGCTGCTCCAAAACTACACAATTTCTAGCCTGTGCCTCCAAATTTGGCAATAGCTTTGGGAGAGATGAAAATGAGCCTCATACTCATAGAATCATTGTGAAAAAAGTGCATTGTCTGACTCTAAGGGTTCAAACTGAAAAATGCATATTGTAAAATTGAGATAAAAATGGACGTAGCAGAAGTAGACTGAATATTTTGGAGCATGTAGTATACCAGAAATATTGAATGTTGATGTCATACCCATAAACCTACCTATCACCAGTAGTACTTTAACCTTTTGACAAACAACATCTGGCAAAGCCATTTTATGACTTAGACCATGAAATATCTGCAGGCATGACACATATTTGGCAGTCTATCAAATTTTAGCTGATGTTTCTTTCACAAAATATCTACTGTTAAAAACTGCCGATACACGTACAAAATAACACAATGTGCAACCAGTTTGTATACTACAGTATACTGAGAAATTAAACACCTTAATATGGCTTGAGAAATAAAGAGCATTCTTTGTTCACAACACAACTGTCTGGATCACGTCTAATGGCAAAGTGCCACTACATTTGGCGACAGGATTCAAAGTCGGTTCCTCATTGCTACTCGATCTGTTACCAAAATAACATCACATCCTCCACAGCTGTGTACATGTGCATGTGAAGTTAAGTGTAGAGATAGGACTTGCGACCTGACTGTTTAAAGGCACACAAAGCGATTTCAGGGCAGCAAAACTGGATTTCCATTTCAATTTTCTGGTTGGTTTTTTTAAATTTTTTAATATACATATAAACACTAGTGGTGTAAGGGCTTCTAAATTAAAGGAATTATAGAGTAATCAAAATGAAGTATTAAAAGAAAAGTATATGTAACATACAGCACAGTCTATTATTTGTGACTGTGGTAATACAATATTCACATTGCTGATGACATAAGAATGTACATAACTACTAATTTAAAGTAATAGAGTACTTTACTTACAAAATATATGATTCACCAATACATGCAATCATGTGTATGTTAGTATAAGATTTCTCAAGGTCTAAAAGTAGACAATGTAATATTCATTGCTAGGCTCATGATGACTGTTTCAATATTTGGTATCTAACCTTTACATAACAGTATGAACAGTCTCCCACACAGAGATTTGACATGACAGGTAAAACAACTTCTGTAAACAGTGGCTGACCTTGGGTAAGTCTGTCCCATGTCTTATCTTTCAATCAATAAATCACAACCTGGGAGGTGTTGGACACAGGGTAGGATGTAAAAGCTTAACTGTCAGTCCTCAGAACATTTTTTGGGAACATTTTTTTGGACAAGCTTTTTCGATAGCTACTTGCCAAAGGTCCTTTCCCCGCTGGAATTCCCCATAGGGCACTACTAGCCTCCTGTGCAGGCCTCTGGGCGGGTGGGAGGTTTGATACTGCGTTTTGTAGAAATTTTAATGCGTTCTTTTGCCGGCCATCCTACAACTAACCATCCAGAGGTGTTTGTACCTGACGTGTTAAAAATTCTACAAAACGCAGTATCAAAACTCCCACCCACCTGGAGGCCTGCACAGGAGGCTAAGGCACGCAACTCATCGTACCTCTAGTCAGGTTCCAATCTACACGTGTTGATGTACAGGTAGACACATTTGGATATACTAAGAGTAGCTATCTGTGAGTTATGTCTTCCCTTTGACCCCCAAGACACTGTGGTATGTACGAGCACATGTCTCAAAGTCAGCCTTCTGCACTTGATTGAAAAAGCCTGCAGGGTAGAAAAGTCTAGTCTTGTTTCAGTCAATTGAAACAACCTAATAGATACGAAATCTAAGTTGCAAGTGTTGAAGCATTATCTATACTCTGTTTGAGGCACCGGTATTTCATATTTAGGGATACTGAAAGACCCTAGCATATCCTCAAATGTTTAAATGTCATCATACCTCCTAGGTGACATGGGACCCCTAAAAACTCCCTTGATATTTTTCTAACCTTCATTACATTGTCCAATCAAGGCATACTGGGTCATTGGGGCCAGGGGGCACAATAAAAACTCACTCTCACTGATTAAATAACGTCAGTGTAATCATTTTTTTAATATGAAAGAAGACTTGTGTTTCAGGGGTCTGGCAAAGGGAACATGGCCCTACAATATCCATGTAAATCCAACTAGCTCATATTCTTTTATAGGATAGACTAAACGTAGGCATTAGTTGAGTGAGTAGCCATGTACATGTAAACCAACTGTTGGAAAAAAATTTTCTCAGTCAATTTTCTTGGAGTATTTCTATAGGTGTCCTACAATATAACAGTTTTTTCTGTCAACATTCTTCAGCAATTCGTATTTAAAAAAGTCTTAGATTTGAGTGCTCTTTCCTTGCAGCAAATCAGAATGCAGCACACTGCAACACAAGGTCAAGAACAAGGATGACATATCTCATTTCTTCTGATTGGTTTTTAACCAGATCCAGGGACTAACTGTTGAAATAAGACATTGGAACATGTTGAAGAAATTTCTGCTGTGCATATGTTTCAGCACTAACATTGACCCAAGGTTTACACATCATATCTGGAGATTTTAAAAGGTATTTCCTAATCACAGTTGAATACTACAACTACAAGTAAACATAGAATTAAAATGGCAATTGCATGTAGTATGTACATGTGATAGCTAAAAGTACATTAAAAAGTAACAATATCAACAGTAACAAAGTAACTGTCAGTAAATATGTAGTGTAGGATACATGTACACAGTGTATCATAGAAAGATCATAGCCTTGCAACATGTATGCAAACTACAGAATGAGATATTTAAGACAATTTTGAATATAATTTAAGAAATGAACCAGGATAGTGAGTGAACAACCTGCAAAGTTGCTGTTGTCATCTTTTGGTAAAACCCACGCTGATGACCTCTTCTGTTAGTAGAATTTTCCCCTTAAAATCCTATTAAGGCATGTCCGCAATAGTCAGTAAGTTCTGCCAAGACTAAGTGATATGAGTGGCATATAAAAGAGCTATAAACTGTCCCAGTAGGGCCGAAGGTTGGGCCAGTGTTTATTTTCTCATATCTGGGATGCTGAGGACTGATACTAACACTAACAGTCTGTGTTAGTGTCTCTTATCAAAGTTCAAACAGCTGAAAGGTCAGTGCACATGTCAATACAAACCAAGTAGGGTGATGAGGGTGGGGGGTTCACAGGTGTATTATAATGATAAAAAGTGGTGCTCTGACTCTGAGAGATACCCGTACTGTAAATTGTTTGTGGGAACTTTATTTTATGTTTTAAACATTTGATCACAGATACTGAATATTTCACCATTTATAGTATACTGTTCGTGGGCTACAATTGTTCTTACCTAGGAATGCCATCATCATTTGGAAAGGTTATACCGGTATGTCTTTTTTTGATTAAACTTTTCAATTCTCAGATACAATAAGACCTATTAGATTAAAGTCTATCCTTTTTTCTGCCAAACTTGTAAATGCACATGTATGGACTTCTCAACTTCAACACCATTGAATGAGAAACTGTTGAAACCGAGAAATGTTTTCAAACAGCCAGTGACAGATTTGAGGGGTCAACATCAAGACACAGTGGCTGGAATGTTTGGGTAACACTACCTCTTAACCTACTTAGACCCCCTGGTTCGCAAAACAGCTGCTTTAGTTTCGACTGCTAAAATACTTCACTTCGGCAAGATTCAATAGAAAAGAAATCCTTATAAAATGCTAGTGGTATTCTTATATTAGATGATTACTAAATAAGATTTTCTTAAAGCATTCAAATTCATATTAAGGTACATACATGTGTTGTGGCATAAACAATACTTTTAAAAAAATTTTAATAAAGCCCATGTCTTTGCCAGCTTTAACAAATCCATGCAGACCTGCTTGAAATAATCATATTCATGATGATTTGGCAATATCTATATCATAAAAGATTTAGGAGCTATATTTGTTTCTATCAAATCTTACCAAGTCTTGGGTTATCCCTCGTATAAGCCCACAAGATATACATGTACTCTAAGAATTACTGTATAAACCTGTGCCACCTGAGCGGAAGGCATTATACTTTACTTTCATTTAACATTTTCACCTGTCTTAAATCCAGATAAGTTGGATCCTAAGAAAACCCCTGGATGTGGACATAAAAGCCTATACATACAAAACCTATGCAGGAAGATATTCTTAACACGATTTAACCTTTAGAACACCGAAGTAAAAATTTGGCTACCAATGTTTTCTTAGGTTAGGCCACACCAATTCAATTTGTTGGTTCTCGGATTTTTTCAGAAAAAATATGAAGTGACAGGGCAATTTGCCAAAATAAAATAAAAATAAAAACAGGTCTAGGCATCCTATTATATCCCCAGATGCTACAATAGGAGCCATGATGTCAATATATTTGACACAAAAGGCTGGGTTAATAGTT